TGCTCAGGTCCCTTCCGAACCTAGAAACTATGAAACTATACCACACAACCACGCTTGTCCGGACACACCCTAGGGCTGGATCCAAATGTGCAGGCACGTGCAGTTTGTGGTGCCACAAACCCCTTTGCAGTGCCATAAAGTGCACGCCTGGCATATTAAAACGTGCCCCATGCTACATATTTGCAGCACAGGGGCAAAATTTGCTACCAGAAAATCCTGGTAGCAAAAAAAACTGATGCAGAAAAAAGTGGTGAGGTGCACAGTCCTCTCACGTGCGCTGGTAGACAAAGGCTGGGTCCTCCCAAGAGATGCTCTGGCTGCTGGCCAGAGCATCTCCACTGCTTTAGCTGTCCCCTGGCTTCTCTAGCATGGGGGGAGCTGGGAGGAAAGGGGAACCTGCAGTTTCTCTGAAGAGGGGCATTATGCCCCACATCAAACTGCACATGCAGGAGCATGCACCACGGCAAAAAATCCCACTACAATTTTTGTTGCAGCAAGCACATCTCTTCACAAGGTGATGTTCCCTAGGTGTCTAAACTTAGGTGTCTGTATGGCTGGAGAAGCCAAGTGACTCACTCTTGCCTAAGTCTGTTGTGATCTAGATAACGTGGCACCTAGACACTGACCTGTGAGGTCAACTCTGAGCATGGCGAAGGCACTCTAGCAGCACTGTTTTGTACAAAGGCATAGCCATGGCTGCTTTTATACAGGAGCAGTGGAAGTGCTTGCTCTTTGTGTGATCAACAGCCCAGTGGTAAGACCTCTCAGGGAAAATGGAAGTTGGGTTCCAAGCTCTCTTCAGCTACAGGGGATTCAAACCCACATCTCCACTGCACAGCAGCATGTCCTGACCACAGGCGATAGGGCAGTCTGAAGGGGCACCCTCCTGTAGAAGATGCTGAACCACAGGGCAGCCTCCGTAGCCTAGTAGTTCTGGCACTCTTCTGAGACTGCCTAATTGCACAAAGAGTTGTGGAAGCTGGGACCAAAACACAGATCTTTCCTTTTCACCTGGTGCCCTAATCACCAGGCTTCTTGCCTGTTTTCTGGCCCCATGACTTTTGCATTTGCGATTGTCTAATAGCCTGGCTGTTTCAAAGGTCAGCAGATGACACATCCCCCACTCCAAATTGTCCTACAGTTCAGTGGTTTGGACATCCTTCGAAGAAGTAGGAGATGCAGCTTGGATTGTCTCAGGCTAAGCACAGCCTAGAATTTAGGTCTCCCAAATCCTGGGTGAATGCTTTAACCACTAGCCTATTATAAAGCACAGGTACTACTACTGCCTATTAGATATCTATCTGCAGAGGAGCACTTAGCATCCTGGATCCCAAGTAAATGAGGCATAAAAATATATGGCCCTAAGTCAGGGACTTGAGCTCCATAGAGGATGATAACGTGATGCATCCCAGTTCCTATTGGTTATCCATGTGTTGCTCCCTGCTCAGTTTGGGGTTCATGAAATCATCCTATGGAGACAGAATTAATTGTAGAGGCAGCCTTGGGCCCAGTCCAGTTTCTCTGAATCACCCTCCTTTTTAGGGTGCTTAATTTTTAGCTATTCTGACCCCTGAGTGCCTCTTCTAGATCTCACCCAAAGCACATGAAGAGAAGAACAGTGCAACCAATGTGATACAGGAGAAACTACAATGGGACTTCTTAAACCAGCATTCAAAATTCAGGGCAGACATTTCTTCAATTTATCAGGAATCCTACAATTCATTATGAAAATGCAATGCTTGAGTAGCATGCCTGGCCCTTGGAGAAAGACAAGGTGCTAGAGATGGTAATGCTTTGCAAAGCATCCTTTTGTGGATGAGGGGCTGACAAAGAGGGGTTACCCTCAAACGCAGGATGCAGCCCTACGTAGATAGGTCTATGAATGCCTGTGTAGGTAGGCATCTGTCTGCTGTTTTGAGGGGTAAATCCTAAATGGAATGAAAGCCCTATTCTGGGCAATGCATTGCAAAGCATTGTGTATGTCTCTAGCCAGCAAATATCCTTTGACAACACCTATATAGTTTGCAGTGATAAACTCTGCCCCCTAAGCCAGAAGCATAACAGGGCAGTTCTGTGCCCAGGGCAGCAGCAGTGCACAGAGCAGCAGTGCCTCCTGGCTGGCATTTCTCCACTCCCCCTGCTTAGTTACACTAC